ATATATTAAATATTTAAACAATATGCACAATAACGTATTATCATAGCATCGGTCTGAAGAAATTACTGATAGTGACATTAATAACATTAAAACATTTTTATTTAAAACTCTTTTAGTTTTAAACTTTCTATTTATGACAGAATACTGGAAAATATGCAGAAATAGCATCCTTGTTGAGCATCTAAAAAAATTACCAACCCCAAAATTTGGAACAATAATATTATTAGGACAATCCACAAACCTCAAATAATAGTTATGAAATGTACTGTAAAGGGAGCTTAGCTATACATACATCAAAATAAGTTTCACATTGAAATACAAATCTGGCACAGTTCCTATTTATCAATGCTGGTCTACTACAATACTCTGACTTACGTCATTGAAATCTAATCCATGAACAAATTCAGGAGATGAGCATGAAGCAGGAATCAGTGTGTGGTCTTATACACTGAAGCTTTACTCTACCATTCACAGTGTCTCTTGACAGCAGAGGCTTTTTAGCTCTGGATATCGTCAAGCATTAAGTGGCTGAGAGTAATGGGATACATTCTGGGCACGCGCTAGAAGCCCAGCACTTTAGGAGAGGTGAAACCAGGACAATGAGAGCCGTTCCTCACTGCTGTGTTTACATTTACACCACACCTGCTTCCTCCACACCGCTTTCAACATCAGAGGCCGAGGAGAAGTCACAGAGTTTATTCAGACTATTTCTAAAAGGATATTCCAACTAAAACATTTTTTAAAGATTTATGACTTGGACCTAAAGGGACAGTTCAACCAAAAAACAAGAATTTGCTGTTAATTTACCCTCATGTCATCAATGATGTAGATTTATGCAGCATTTTAGGAGACTGTACAGTATAAATTATAATTGTGGTTCTTGGTGATTAAAAAATGCAATTTAACAGTTAACAGCCAAAAAAAAAAAAAAAAAAACATATACAGGCAAAACAACTTTAATACAGTTGAAGTCAGAATTATTAGCCCCCTTTTGAATTTTTTTCCTTTTAAATATTTCCCAAATGATGTTTACCAGAGCAAGGAAATTTCAACAGTATGTCTGATAATATTTGTTTCTTCTGGAGAAAGTCTTATTTGTTTTATTTTGGCTAGAATAAAAGTAGTTTTTAATTTATTAAAAGCCATTTTAAGGTCAAAATTATTAGCCCCTTTAAGCTATATATTTTTTCGTTAGTCTACAGAACATACCATCGTTATACAATAACTTGCCTAATTACCTTAACCTGCTTAGTTAACCTAATAAACCTAGTTAAGTCACTTTAAGCTGTATAGAAGTGTCTTGAAAAATATCTAGTTAATATTATTGACTGTCATCATGGCAAAGATATAATAAATCAGTTATTAGAAATGAGTTATTAAAACTATTATTTTTAGAAATGTGTCGAAACAAAATCCTATAAAAAGTCCTACCAGACTATCATCAGGTTGTGATAATGTTGTGAATAATGTTTACATTCCAATTGTTTCACTTCATAACACAAATTTATTATTAGAAGCCAGAAGTACGAAAGGAAGAGTTCACCCAAACCTGAAAATTCTGTCATTTACTTACCCTTCACTTTTCAGTTTCTTTCTTCTGCTGAACCTAAAAGAAGATTCTTCGCTGGAAACCTGCAACCATTGAATTCCTTTGTATTAATTTTTCCTATATGGTTAGCAATTTCCAATATGGATATCCAATAGATAGCAATTTTCTATATGGATAGCATCTTTCTTCAGCACATTTTTTTTACATAGGTTCAGCTGGAAAAAAGACACTCAAATGTTTAGAAGCAAATGAGCTTAGATAGTGGGTAAATGTTCCTGAATGAACTATCCCTTTAATTTTGTTTTGCTGTATTTTTTAAATCACACGTTATTGTAATGCACAATTCACATTCATTAACAAATAATTAACCAAAACTACTAAATAACTGTTTAATAATTATGAGGTGGCAGTCTAGGTGTTGGGTAGGATTGGGGATGTAGAACAACATCAAACTTTAGAAGTAACAGTTCATATCTTAATAATAGTGAGGTAAAAGTCAGAATAGTGTAAAAACCAAAAAAGGTATTCCCATTTTTAATTTTGACTCAAAATGTCATCGACTTGCATTTTATAAACGACCAATGACCAGTTTCAGTTAAAGCAACAGTTCTTTAGAATTAAAAATTCTGTCATGATGAACTATTGACTTCCGTATTAAGTACTATGGAAGTCAGTGTTTACATGTTTTCAGCATTTTTCAAAATATCTTCTTTCGTGTTGAGCAAATATTGAGAAAATTTTCTTTTTTTTGAGTCAACTACTCCTTTAAAAATCCTTTGCTCTGCTGAATTAAAAAGGAAAAATATACCAACCTCTTGCATGGCCTCAGGGAGAATAATTTAAGCAAAGTATTTTCTTTTTTTAAATGAGCTAAATCATTAGCATAACATACAAAACTACAGAAATAAGTCTATTCATACATACACAGTTTGCCATATTCAGTATTTTAAGTCTGGCCTGTTTGATAATACACAGATCAGAGGAGATCCAGAGGAGGACTTTGTACCATGAGGACCATTTCTCTTTGTTCTCGTAGGCTTTTATGAGCAAATTAAGTCTCTAAGTAAATTACTTTAAATGAGATTCTGAAAATGCTCATTGATTGCTTGGGATGAACTGTTTTTGGAGGTAATTTGTCTCTTCGAATCATTGAATTATGACTGCTTTATGTCGCTATCATTGTCTAATCATATTGGTTCTGCACTGCATTCTGCAGAATCATAAAACAGCGAGTATAGTATTGACAGCTATTGTGTTGACAATCTGGTTTTTGGCTCCACCTATAGTCCAATTACATTTTTACAACAGGATTTTTCAAATGTTAAACCAAAATATTACAAATTCAAAGGTTATATTATAATGAAACGAGAATGAAACTAAACAAACGTTCAGTCTTTCAATCAAATTTCAGTAGATTTTTAGGTTAAATGCTGTAACATGGCCATCATCAAGAAACACTATGATGAAAGTCCATTTACTGGCAATGATGCCTTTCACAAGAGGCTTACAAGGAAAGTGACATCTGTCTACATCCTGCTATTAAAATATCACATGATTTTTAGAAATAAAGGAAATCAAATACTGAAGTTAACTTCTATCACTTCTCGGAATCAATGTCATGACACTTAATTAGTAAATAATTCGTCATTGATCATTCATTTATTCATTAATTTTCTTTTCAGCTTAGTCCCTTTATTATTTGAGGTCGCCACAACGGAATGAACTGGCAACTTATCCAGCATATGATTTATGCAGCAGATGCCCTTCCAGCTGCAGCCCATCACTGGGAAACACCTATACGATTCCATTCACACACATACACTACAGATAATTTAGCTTACCCAATTCACCTATAGCACATGTCTTTGGACTTGTGGGGGAAAATGGAGCACCGGAGAACATTGATTATTCTTTGTGAAATTAAATTTTATTGTTGTTGATTTTTTTTTTTTTTTTTATAAAATATCCAGAATCTTTGTATGCTAAAGCTAACTTTAAATTTAGTATGCTCCCTAAATACACAAGATTTGATCATATTTTTAACACATTTTGCATTTGTTGACAAAATACAGCTTGAAATGGTACATAACAAATATGTATGGTACACAAGTGACATTTACAGACATTTTTTTACAAATAACAAGTCTTATTAATAGTCACAATTAATTCCTTGATTAACAAGTACACTAAAGTCATTCTCATTGTTTGTTTAAGGGTAAAAAAGTACTTTGAAATAACAAAGCAGAAATAAACACACATAAAAAATTACTGCGTTGAGAAAATTTGTTAAATTAAAAAAATTGGCAAACAAATTACTGAAGGCATCTAGGTAGTGAAAATCATATAAATTGCAAAAATTATTTGTGCTGTTGAAATTTTAGGGCATACTCACACTATGCTATCTGAAACATGCCCAGGCACGTTTCTCGTTTGTTTGACAAGTTTGAGTGCTCCAAATTGGGCTCAGGCACGGTTCAGTTGGCCAGCCCTGGCCCAGTTGCAAGAGGTGTGCCAGAGCGCGGTTGAGTAGGGCTTTGGTGCGGTACGCTTGAAGTGTGAGTGCAAAGCACACCTGAACCCAAAGCTGAAGACACAACGTCACTTTTAAGGGACTGTTTCATATGGATTTATTAATCATTCTTACTGTTCAATGAGTGCAAACTGTCATAGTTTATTAAAGACGCATACTTCTCGCTACACGTCAGCAAGCCTTCTAATACATGCAGCATGAGGACTTTTATGATTATTTATGAGCGTCAAAAGTGACTGATCTGTTTGGCCAAATATTTGACTGTGTGTCACTGCATCCCAAACAATTAAAATGATTTAATAAAGCAATCTCCACTATTCAGAGCAAGAGTGTTTCTCTTCTGTTAAACTGAACAGTCGCATCATCGATGACGTAAGTAAACTCAGATTCGGACGGCAAATGGCAGTATGTGTGTAGGCCGTCGGGGGAAAGGGTACGGGGACAATCGCAGTTCGGCATGGTTAAAGGCAGGTGTACCTAGTGTGAGCACGCCCTTAATAAAATGAATGACAGATTGTGTATCCATATTGATATCAGAATTAAATACTAATAAAGTGCTTATAGTTTACTATCTTATAAAGAATACGATTTGCTGTTTACAGATACAACCACAGCACAAAAAAATAAAAAGAGAATCTTGTTAAAATAAAGAATATAATAATATGTTTTAAATGAAAACAAATGCATGATTTAGCGCTTGGTGTTAGCTCCATCTTGAATAAAAAGTGGATTCTATTTATTAGCACTTTTTCCCTTAACTATGCAGTAATTATTGTTTTAATAAGTAATTTAGCAATTTGCATGACAAAAATTTTCCATAAGTTAAAACAAAACTAATTGACTTGAGCACTACAGACACCATATAGTTTCACTTCCCATGCCAGACATCACATGATCCACCACCAGACTCTTCACATTTACCTCAGTGTCCTGTCTTTGAGCACTGCTTGACTGAAGAGCCCAGTTTATCAGCAAGAAGGAACGGGCTAAGGTGGCAAACCTGACAAAAACAAAACAATGATTACAAATATTTCCTTCTTCAGTGAGCTCTTTCTATAAAGCTATACAAAATGCAGGAATCCGGAATTATTATTATTATTTTATGTATAAAAACTGATTTGTTTTATCTTTGCTATGATGACAGTACATAATATTTTACTAGATATTTTTCAAGACACTAGTTTTCAGCTTAAAGTGACATTTAAAGTCTTAATTAGGGTAATTAGGCAAGTTAGGGTAGTTAGGCAAATCATTTTATAACAGTGGTTTGTGCTGTAGACAATCAAAATAAATATTGCCTAAGATGGCTAATAATATTGACCTTAAAATGGTTTTGAAAAAAATTTAAACTGCTTTTATTCTAGCCAAAATAAAACATACTGTATAAGACTTTCTCCAGAAGAAAAAATAGTATAGGACATTCTGTGAAAAACGTCTTGCTCTGTTAAACATAATTTGGGAATTATTTGAAAAAGAAAAAAATTCACAGGAGGGCTAATTATTTTGACACAACTGTATATGCAACATAAGATAATGAATAAGATGCTCATTTACCTGTGGAGTAGCGTTCTCGTTTGGATCTAGAGTTTCTGAAATGGTAATGTCAAAGTCTGTGGAGAAGCGTGTGTTTTGGAGGATGGCAGCCATCTCTGCATCCACCTGCACTTGGACATTTGTCTGGAAAAGAATCAGCAGGACTTACCACAGAATAAGTCGTATTAATTTGTAAAAACTGTCAATATGCATAAATGTTTACCTTGAAAGAATGAGAAGAATCAAATTCAAAACAGTCGGCACAGTCAGGCACGCTGCCTTTATATGTGACCAGAGCTTTGCTTTTGGTGGAGTTTTGAGGAAGTTTAAAGATCCGATAAGTTCCAGATGCATATTTGACATCACCTGCAGTGACCAATTGGAGGTCAAAATAACACTGGTTGAACTGTAAAGCATCTGCTTCCCTCAAGTAACAAATAACTTTCAAAAATAGCTATGAAGCTGTAACCAAACCCCAAATAAACAGATTACCAATCTTTCTTTGAAGTTCTGAGTTGTGAACCACAATGTGACTTCCTGCAACCAGGTGTGGAGTGCTGAAACCGATGTCTTTCACCAGAGTGATGAGATCTCGCCAGTAGAGGGCGCCAGCCATTCCCTCTCCTGATGAAATCAAACACTTTATAAAGGGATGGTTCACCCAAAAATTACATTTCGCTCTTTATTTACTTACACTCAAGTGGTTAAAACTTATGAATGTATTTCTTCTGTTAAACAAGATATTGTGTAGAATCTTTGAAAAAAGCAGCTATTGACATCCATAGTATAATACTATGGAATTCATTGGCTTTTTTCCCCCAACATTCTTTAGTATATATTCATTTGTGTTCAACAGAGGAAAAAAAAAAACTCAAATGGAGGATCAAATAAAGGATGAGTAAATTATGACATTTTTTTTGTGTGAAATATCACTTAAAACCCCTTTTTGCTTTGTCTGCTCTATGTTTTACAGCTAATAAAAAAGTAACTTTCAGGTTTTTTTAACACCATGTCAGCTTCAACGGCTATAGTCATGCAAAAAATCTGTTGTTTCCAAAATTATAACCAGATGTTTTTTCTTCATTCAATTTTCATCAATCAATCCGAAACAAATATACAACAGCCCTACTGTTATACAGTATCGCGATAAAGCATGGTCCAAATAAAAACAACCAATAACAATCAAAGTTTACCCCACAGAACTGGATCTTCCTTGAAAGAGTCTGGAACTGCTTTGCTTGCATACATGTCACTATAGTACAACTCTCCACCTTCCTAGAAGATCATTTACAAATGCAACAAGCTTGTAAATATTTCAGATTCATAAATGCAAGAATAATAGAAAAAACATGAGCAGTTGGTATGTGATAGATTTGATCTCACCTTAAGAACTTTGAAAGCTTCACTTAAAACAGTTCTTTTATCTGGACACAGACATATAACACAGTTCGACCTAGAATAAAAAGGCATTTTTGCAACTTTTGCTCAGGCAGATTAATAGTCTACAAATGTAATAATATTTATGTGCATACACAAGTACATCCAATGATTTGTTTTGTATTGCTGCGTCACTGAGCTTCTCCATGTATCCTTTTACAAACACAGTGTTTGGTTTTGAGTATCCGAACTTCTCCTGATGGTACTGGACATATTTTTGTGAGGCGGATATCTAATTATGGAGCACACAAAAAGGGTAAATTTGCACTTTCTTTCATATTATCACACTTTTCAGTTAAGCTACTTGTATATATGATTAATGAAGATATGGGATAAAAATGCATCTTTAGATTGAGTTGTATTGCACATCTTCAAAGTTACAAAGCACACAGTCTCTAACAAAAGAGTGTGTGTTGGGAGAGAGTTAATAAAAGGTTTGTTGTAGTTAATCTGCTTGATAATTTGCATTGTCAGAATCTGACTTCGAGTTAAACTGATATGATAAAACCAAAGCCATAAGTATCTCATAGGTTAAAATCTGCAAATTACCATTTCGTCTGTCATATCCAGTCCAATGACTTGACCCCTCTCTCCCACTAGTTTGCTGAGGACGAAGCAGTCTCTGCCCGATCCACTGCCCAAATCAAGCACTTTACATCCTTCCAGCTTCTCTGGAATCACCAGACCGCAGCCAAAATACCTGCAGATTTATATAATTAATTTTTAAATTTACAATTTAGTGTTGCTCAGGGATGCTGTACCTCTTGCAAACATCCGGGTGAACTTGTTTGAGGGCTTCACATGCGGTCTTGGCCAGGGGTTTGGAGGGCAGAACACACGCAGCGTTGGTCTGCAAGTCATCTGAAGTCTCCAGCCGAGAGCCATAATAATTCTGTAAGTAATATAAAGCAATGTTGTGGTAGTCCAGTAGAGAAATGCTAAGCCCTATTTAAAAGCCGAGGCATGAACATGACAAATCCAATGAAGAGACGTTGCATGCTTTAAGTGTACACAAGGCAGTAGTATATTATAGTATACAGGTATATTATATAATTAATATTTATTTATTTATTAAAATAGAGAATATAAAAAAGAACTTAAAAATTCATTTAAAAATTACTATGAAAAAAAAATGATAGTTACAAATAATAAAATAATTATGATAAAATAATATAAAAATAAATTAGCAAATCATGCTAAAACTTATTTTAATAAAATATAAAATGTTAATTAACTTTACTGAAAATACATATTTTCCATACGCACCATAAAATTAACACAATCAAACATTTCATAATGGGGGTCCTATGCTTAAAAAGAATTGTAGTAGTTTTTTGTTGTTGAAACATTTTAATGAACAGGAGATGTTTATGAAAAATATATGTATTATTGAATAATATTTGTGTATATATATATATATATATATATATATATATATATATATATATATATATATATATATATATATATATATATATATATATATATTCATTCATTCATTCATTTTCTTGTCGGCTTAGTCCCTTATTAATCCGGGGTCATTTAGTTTATATATATATATATATTTTAAATAAATAAATAAATAAATAATAACAAATAAAAAGATCAATAGATAACTCTGGATGGAGCTGAACATACAGTGAGGTGTTTTTTTTTTTATTAACAAGAACAAGCATGTACAGTTTTCTTATACAATACAATACAATCACTTTACATTTCTTAACAAGAATGAATTCTTGTTAATGAATACGAATAAGATAATAAGAATAAGAATGAATACATTAATGAATACATTACTCATTCATGAATAAGAATGAATACATTTCTTAACAAGAATGAAAATGAGGTGTTCTTAAAGGTACAGTGAAAGTTTGACACCCAATGGTTGAACTAGGTATTGCACTCCGGAGTCAAAACAAACGCAAGAGCAGGTTGCCAGATTGAGGACTGGAGCAAGTGATTTAAACCGTGTTCTAAATAAAAGGAATGGCAACCGGTAGAAGAAATATTTTCCATATTAAAAGAAGTTTTTGTTCTAACTAGAGATGCACAATATCGGCGGCCATATTGTTATATAATATTTCAATGAATAAATAAATAAATAGCAGCTACTAAATTTTTGTTAACTGTCTGGTGCCACTGATGTTGCTGATTCACTGATCCTCCCCCTTCCTTATCGTCATTGACAGCACGCACACACCTTTAATGCACAGCAAGGGCAATTTAATATTTACCTTAAGGTAGATTAATTGAAGAACCTGTATTAATAATATTGTGGCTTAAAAACAAGTATGGCCAAATGATATTATTAGTGTCTGTATAGTAAGTGTGTATATATAAGCGCAGGTGGGGGGTTTGGGGGAATCCCTATTTATGGTGGGCATTTCCCTTATTTTCACATCCCAATGTTAAAAGGTATGCACAGAATTCTTTTTTTTTTTTTTTTTTTGTGCCACCCCAACATTTGATACAGCTGCTTTTGGCAACCCCTAAGAAAATTTTCTGGGGCGCCACTGCAGGTGGAACTCTGAATCTGCATCTTATTTCAGAGTCTGCTACAAACTGACATTGGGCAGGTTAAAATTACCAAAACAAAGACAGTTTCAAAGCAGAATATCTGACCTCGGCATTGTTTTTTCAGATAAAGTATAATCTGATAAAGTGTGTTAAAATATGTTCACTTGGCACGTTTCTTAAATATCTGCAAACATATTATGGTATTATGCTTTAAATGAGTCAAAAACTTCCATACAGCACATTTAATGCTGTAATTATTAAATAATTTTTTTCACTTTAATTTTTGTTACTGACAGTATTCAATCTTATTACTGACCCAAGAATAGGACCCCAGGTGAAATGGTCTACCAATAAAAATTTTTTCAAATAAACTATAGTAAAACTGCTGTGGTCAAGTGATTTACACCTTCACGACAAAACACTATAAACTTTTTAAACGGGCAAAACTCTGCACAAAACACACCAACACCTCTATGCAGATCTCTTAAAGTCAAAAGTAGGCTACAAACACAGCTGTAACTGATGAAGTTGCACCGAAAATATGTTGTCATGTCGTTGGTCGCGTCCCATGTTTAGCAATATTAAAGGGTAACAACACGTTTTAGCAGCTTACCTTCACATTCTCGTGAACAGCAGAAGACATTTTTAGGGTTTGTTCTTTACGCTGAACAGCCAGAGACCGGAGAAATGCGCTAGCGTACTTCATCAATACAAAACAAACCATGAAGTTGTAGTTTTGTCAACGCCCACGAGGTTCGAGCTGTTAGTGAAATTTAACGCAAATTCTAGTGGTTTAGTATGTTTTGAATACAGTAACACGAGTTAACTTTACATCGTTTGCAACGTTCTTGGGGCAAAGTTCTTGCTGAATTATTATTCCTGCTGCGTATAATCAACGACAGCTTACTTCTATCCACTCAACCACCAGAGGCCGCCACGCGTCCATATATATTTTCTAACAGTCTATGATCCACGGCTTTCAGCAATGATCATCCATAACTAGTGGTATATTCACTAGTTATGTTTATAAACTAATAGAAATAGGTATGTGAATACATCAAGAGCTCCATTTTAGTGTCTTCTAGATCAGATGTGGAATATTTAATCATACTCAAAACAAGTTGATGATGTGTGAAATATAATATCCAAATCAAGCATCTGTATTTCTGTATATGTGGTAGTTTGATATTTTGGCACAGTTTAAAAGATAGTGGTGTGAAAAAGAGGCCTGACATGCTGTGATGAATACACACATTGTTATTCTTCTGCGGTGTGTGTGCGTGTATGTGTGTGTGTGTTCATGGGACTGGAAAAGTCGTTCCACAGTGTCCTGCTTGACATTAAGCAGAGTCAGTCAGCTGTGACCTTCCTCTGCCCTCCGAGTCCTGAGTCTCTCACCAAACAACAGCTTGTACTTTGATTGAAGGCTGGTCCAAGTATGTCTGGTTTCACCCCCTTGTAAGCAAATATCTGTGGGACGAGTCTGAAAGGCCTTTGTTATCAAAGACAAGACATTTGCTGTAGGAGAGAGATGAGCCTGTGATTCATTTCAATGATGGCTGGTTTAGGCTTTAATAGTGCCTCGTCTTTAAAAATAATAATAAAACAAAAGTTTTAATTAAGTTGTTTAATTAAGTTTTAATTAGTTGTAATTGTTTTATAAACTTTATGCTTTTAAAATGATTAATAATAATACATTATAATTATGTTAATAAAAAGTGTTTCTAATAATCATAATAATAAAAATACCTATATTTCCCATTTTTTCATACAAAAGTAGGCCTAATAACAAATATTTTAAACTTTTTTCTTATTTTGTACTTATTTTTATGTTATATATCTCAACCATTTTAAGGGTTGTTATCTATCTCGAAAATCACAATCAAATTACAAAAACTTTACTCACAATAATAATATAAAAATAGACATTAAAAATTATATATATCATTTAGTTTGTAATAAAACAAAAAAAAATTACAAATAAAATGCAAATCAAATTTTAAAAATCGAATTAAATACAAATATATAAACATATTTTTAAGACTAAAAAGCTCATAAAAATTACAAAACACAACCCAATGATTCATGATGAATGAAAATGAAAAAAAAGAAAACTGAAAATTTTAAACAAAACCAGGTTTAAATGATTAATATACATTGCGATATTTACTCAGATATACAGTAGAAGTGTACCCTGCATGTAATCGGTGTGGGCTCGAACCGGCATTACTGGCAATATGTTTTGGAGCTGCCCAAAATAAGCATCTTACAGGGAAAATATTTTTCTGACATTTTCAAAAATAGGTCAAAAGCCGATAGATCCAGATCACAGTTCTAGGCATCACTGATTTCTAAAGTACAGAAGTACAGAACAAAAAACAGTTCCATTTGTCTGTCTGTTAGCAAGAAGGTTAATATTATTTAACTAAAAACATTAAGTTGTTCCTACATTTAATCTAATCTAAACATTAAAATCAAGGGATTTAATGAAATATTTGGAATTAGAGAAAATCAGATTTTTCCTGAAAAAGAAAGAAGGCAAATTCTATCAAATCTGGCAAACTTTCATGGATTGTTTAAAAAAACATAAATTCTAAAGTTGAAAAGGATCAGACTCATTTAGATAAAAAGAGAAGATTATTATTTTATTTATTATTTTTATTTATTTATTATTATTGTTGTATTTATTTTATTATTTTTATTATTCTTTTTTCATTGTATTAATCTATGATCACTATAATTCTGTATAGATTGTCTGTATATTGAATGTTTTGTTGTCGATTGTGGTGTGAAGGTTTGTTGGACCAAATTTGTAAGTCGTTGTGTTGGAATGTCTAAAAACAAGACATACACACACACACACACACACACACACACACACACACACACACACACACACACACACACACACACACACACACACACACACACACACACACACACACACACACACACAGTGCTCAGCATATATAAGAACACCCCTCACAAATCTATCTTTTAAATTAATATTTTTAATAGAAAGCTATACAGTATTAGGTTTTGTGCACATTAAATTAGTCAGTACTGAAGCCAAATCTGGAGCTTATTTAACAAAATAACTGACTATAATGATCCAAAAACCATTCATCCATTTTCTTTTCGGCTTAGTCCCTTTATTAATCTGGGGTCGCCACAGTGGAATGAAACGCCAACTTATCCAGAATATGTTTTACGCAGCGGATGCCCTTCCAGCTGCAACCCATGACTGGGAAACCCATACACACTCATACACTAGACAATCTAACGTACCCAATTCACCTGTACCACATGTCTTTGGACTGTGGGGGAAACTGGAGCACCCGGAGGAATAGGCGAACATAGGGAGAACATGCAAACTCCACACAGAAACGCCAACAGACCCAGCCAAGGCTCAAACCAGCAACCTTCTTGCTGTGAGGCGACAGCACTACCTACTGCGCCACTGTGTTGCCCTTTTTTGCAATGTTTTGCTTGAATTTAATTCTATTATCTTTCTATTTCTAAATATGTTTGGTTGACTAAATATTATTTTAATAAATATAGCTGTTTAATAAATCTGTTGCACCTAAATACATTGCCCATATTCACTGAGAAATGGATCAAAACATTCATTTTCAAATGGGGTGTACTTAATTATGCTGAGCACTACTAAATAACATTACTATGAAATAATACTACGAAACACAAAACATTATTCATAAATTCCAATTATTCCAGGCCTTTTAAAGGGACTGTTTCACACGCACAACCTCTTTTTAACCTGACTGTTTATCAAAGCTCTCTCTCCTCTTTTTTTGTGTTTAATCTGTGACCCTTTGTACTGTATTGTAAGTCCATGACCACTGTACCGCAGACCGAGACATCAAAGCCAGTGTTCATTTCCACCCCCCTCTGTGTTCTCTGACAAACCAAGAGTTGTCAAGCTCCAAAACTTGACCTCGCTCATAGTCCCAGACTTATTTGTTTAATTTCTGTTCCTTTTTCTGTAGTCAAGGCAAGCAAGAGGTTATTGTCAGTTCAAGCCTGACAAACATCTATGCTGGGAAGGGTTCAGTGCCAGACTAAAGGTTATGAGAAGTTGAAGGAAAGGGTAATCTTTGGAAGATCAAATAAAGTGGAAGTCAGAGGAGGGGAATGTGTTCAGTGTCACACAGTCGGCCTTTTCCTTCGCAAACAAAACCCTACTGTTCTACTTTTTTGTGTGTCTTACGCACATACACGGATGGGCCGCGAGGTCTCTTTTAACCTTTTGAACCACTCGGACCGTCTAGTTAATGCAAGCCGTTGCGACACATTCAAGGTTAGTTATTTCCCCTTTAACTACAAGAACAATGTATACCGGAGAACATCAGATCCTGCTGTGTTGAATCACCGTGGAGGGTCAGATGGGTCGTAAAAATGTGGTGGCCATGACCTGAACATAAACAAAACTTTAGATCAGACCAAACATATATGTTCTATCAAGTTCAGTTACTGTAAAAAAAACTTGTTTGAAGAAAGATAAAAATGCAACATATAAAATAAAAACATACATCAAATACATACTTATATCTATTTTACAATAAATAGGTAGATAGCATTATTTTATTAAAAAAAATGTATTTATAAAATTATTTCTATTTACTAAATGAACTTGATTTTGAGGTTTATTTGAGATTTAAAAAAAAGGAAAACAAAAAGCTTCCTTTATTTCTTTTGATTGTATACATTTGTTTCTTTTCGGGGTTAAAATACAATTTAGAGTGATCTAATTAATAAGAATTCAGGGCCCTTCCCATAAAATAGGAAGAGGGCTTTACATTTGTATAAAATATTTGTAGAGTTCTTAATATATGAAAATGATAAATAACTTATAATGATTATTTTAACGAAACTCATTTCATTTTCTTTTTAGCTTAGGCCCTTTATTAATCAGGGGTCGCCAATGACAGGGTTTTACACTTCGGATACCCTTCCAGCCACAACCCAGTCCTGGGAAACACCCACGCCAACATTGGGAGAACATGCAAACTCCACTCTGAAATGCCAACTGACCCAGCTGAGGCTAGGGACCAGCGACCTTCTTGCTGTAAGCGACATTGCTACCCACTGCGCCACCGTGTCGCCCAGAGGCCAGTGGGCAAATTTGGCCAGGATGCCGGGGTTAAACCCTTACTCTTTTTTGAAGAACATTCTAGAATTTTTACGACCACAGAAAGTCAGGACTTCAGTTTAACATCTCATTCGAAAGACGGTTAGAGCAAACTATATGTATATAATAATATTAAGTATTTTTTGTTTGTATTAAATTTCTTTTTAGGTCAAGTCTAGCTTTTAAACTAAATAATAATTTTAAGTTACAGTAAATGAGAAGTATTTCTTTGACAAGTTAAAAAAAATTATAAAGTAAATTTAATAATATTAATATGTTATTAAATAAATAAAAGTTTTAATGTGTGTAAAAATAAAGAAAATGATTATGAACTATGATGTACCGTATCTTCAAATAGATTATTACTTACATTACTTTATTATTCTAGGTGACACTAAATGAAAATGAGATTATTTATTTAACAAAGCTTGGATAGGTATTTCTGCTAATGTTTACATTTTCAAAATCATTTTAATTTTATGTTGTTTTTTTGTTAGAATAACATTAAAGATATGTATAATAATATAGACATGCAGAGCTACATCTCAATTGATCTAGCAACCAACAACTAGGAGTCAGAACGATGGCAAATCAGTTCAAAGGTAGAGTTTGCAAACTGGAAATATAAGCACTACCTTTCCATTGTTGAGGTGAAAGGCAAGAATGTTTATGGTGTTTATGTTCAGGAAAAAAAGAGACTCACTGCGTCACTGACCAGCAATTCTGATCTAATAAAGCATCTCACG